TTCACCCACGTAGTGCCACTTCAGGCTCTGCCCTTGGGTAGTGCCACTTCAGGCTCTGCCCTTGGGTAGTGCCCTATGTGCTAGAATATTCCCAAATGAGAATGGGAGCTCCTCAGGTAGAGCCATGTGCTCTGCCTCACCTAATCCAGCTGGCAACCTCCACAGGTGTCATCTGCTAAAATCTTCAGGGACAGAAAGGCCCCTTGACACCTCTTACAACACACCAAACAGAGCCCCACACCAAGAAAGGAACTGCCCACACCTCACAGAAGCCGTTAGTGGACCTTTCTCCACTCTGCAAGCCTTCCTGCGCGGTGGAGGCCAGTGCAGACCATCCTCTGCCCAGGACAGTTACGTTCTAAATGACCCCACAGAGAGCCCTCCGGATGGCCGCCTCTCTGATGGTTCCCTGCAATCACATAAAAAACACTCATTGCAGCCAAGATGCACAAAGCACTGTATTGATTTCATCCTCAGGTTTTTCCAGAACAAATCATAAACCCACACCAATTATGTCCAACCAGTTTTATGGATAAAGAAGCCTGAGGCTCTCCAGCAGGAGAGCTTGAGTTTCCCTTCTCACTCTTGTGCTGCCTGTCCCTTTCCCACCTCCAGACCATTAAAAGAATATTTGTAATGTAGATGAGGCCAGTCCTTTGGCCCAACGTTGACAGACAAGAGGAAGATTCCAGGGAGAAATGCCACAGCAGCAAATGAATATGAATGATGCTTTTCCACTTTGTGCTTATAAAATGCCTTTTGTACCAGAATCTTAAAGCCCTCCAGGAAGCAAGGCTTTGCCTGGGACTTTCACTCATGGTAAACACGAATGGTTGGAGCTACCCAAGTCTTGTGATAAGAAAGAACAAAAGTCTGGACACTTCTAAAATGCAATATTCTTGCCTTCTGGGTAGTAAATGAAGGCTGCAGATGGATAATGACATCTGTGGATTCTGGCTCCACTTCCTATAGAGAAAAAAACATGTAAATAAATATGTAAAAAAATGTCATATGTGGATGACACCCATGGTTCATCCAGTAGTTGCCATCCTGCCCAACGTTCACAAGCAATGGATTCTATTACTGGGTGCCTTGTGACTGCATTACACTGAGAAAGTAAAATGTATCTCTCTTCAGTGCCCGGGGGAAGACAAATGTTTAGAGAAATGTTTAGTAAAAAGGTCCAGTCAGTGGCTTTGACACTTGATGCTTTTGCGCTAAGCAATGCTGTCCTTTGTTCTCTCCATTGGAAGCCTCCTTCTAAATGTTTAATAGCGAAGTGGCTCATTAGGGTCTGCAAAGGTCGGGCCCTTAACTGGAAAGGTGGAGGGGAACTCACAAGCAGTCCCTATCAGATTGACTGGAAGGTTCATTTGAGAATTCCTTCCTTCTCACCCTTAGTTTAAGATGCACATGCAGCATGAATAACTGCCTGGGCTCCAGCCACTGACATGCCTGAAGAGCAGACGTTAGTGACTTTGAAACTGTTCCTACAACTCATTTAGGGCATTTATCAGCTTCAGAGGAAAACTCACAAAAACTCTAAGAAAAATTCTGTTGCAAAACCTCTAGCAGACAATCTGCCCTCGCAGTCACTTGCATTGTATTCTGAAAGTTAATGCTAAGAGTTTGCAAAAGAATTTTAGTTCATCAGGTGTCCAGAAAATAAACTCCTCCAAATGCAGTCGAAATAGTTTCAAATAGCTTCAAATACTCTGCTTGTTATGAATCTACAGAACAGCAATTAAATCATTATCAGTTAATGATTAAATATCAGATAGCTATAACCAAGGGTATCTTGCGATTACTCTGAAAAACTGCATATCAAGTTTTTGTTGGGTGCAGAAAATGATTCCCCAAAATATAGTGTTTTGGCATGCTGAGTACTTTGCAAATCAAAAGGCCTTTGAAATAAGCCTTAGACCCAAGTTCTCTTTCTGACCTTCCCCACCCTTTGTTTCTCTGATCCTCTTTCTAGAAGCACCTGGAGGGACTCTCTGGAATTTTCTTGTCTAACAAACTTCTTTCCAAAAAAAAAAAGGAAAAACAGGCAATTGTCATAAGACCCCCAACTTTAGGAATCTCATCAAATGACCAGGAAAGAAGAGAAGAGACGGAGTTGTCACTGTACCCAGATGGACTTTTCATCTGTTCTCTTGAGGGTAGGTCTGACAACCTTTGTGCAAGGTGCCGTTTCATCCCTCACCTTCCCAGCACTTCCCCCAGAGCTCAGAGGAACTTTTGCCATTTACTCCCACACACCTCATCCCCCTTTCCCTATGAAGAGAGGATTTAGCGGCAACTGGACCTTGTTGGGTGATGAGGTCATCACTCTTCTACAATTCCCCATGGTATGCATGTTAAAATAAACACATGCCTTTTCTCCTGTTGATCTGCCTTTTTCGGTTCATTTTCAGCAAACCTTCAGAGGGTGAAAGGGGAAGCTTTCCTTCTTGGCCCCTACATTTTGCATTGTCTTATACCTTCACATTTTTCTACTCTTGTCAAGTTACACTGTAAAGCAAAATATAGATCATTAGCTGGCTAATTGTTTTTTACTTAAAAAGCAGCTAGCATTTGGTTTTGGGTATCACAGTGTGTCTAATCTAGTCTTTCTAGCAGCAATATTCTATAAACACTTATCATCCACCATTATTAAAAACATTTCTGGGGCCAGGCGCGGTGGCTCAAGCCTGTAATCCCAGCACTTTGGGAGGCCGAGGCGAGTGGATCACGAGGTCAAGAGATCGAGACCATCCTGGTCAACATGGTGAAACCCCGTCTCTACTAAAAATACAAAAAATTAGCTGGGCATGGTGGCGTGTGCCTGTAATCCCAGCGACTCAGGAGGCGAGGCAGGAGAATTGCCTGAACCCAGGAGGCGGAGGTTGCAGTGAGCCGAGATCGCGCCATTGCACTCCAGCCTGGGTAACAAGAGAGAAACTCCGTCTCAAAAAAACAAAAAAAAAAAACAAAAAAAACCATTTCTGGTTAAGTGACTCACACGTCGTCCTACCTACTGATGAAGCCGAGGCAGGAGGATCACTTAGGCCCAGGAAGGAGTTCAAGTACAGCCTGGGCTCTCTTTAAAAATGTTTTAAAAAAAATTCTGAACATGCAACCTCAATATAATGCATATTTATTTATTTGTAAATGATACACTGGCACTAATACATTGACATAAAAACATAAAACAAATAGAAAACAATGTAACATTTTGATTTATTAACTGAAAATTAGTTCTATTTTCATTAATTTTTTTTTTTTTTTTTTGAGACGGAGTTTAGCTCTTGTTACCCAGGCTGGAGTGCAATGGCGCGATCTCGGCTCACCGCAACCTCTGCCTCCTGGGTTCAGGCAATTCTCCTGCCTCAGCCTCCTGAGTAGCTGGGATTACAGGCACGCGCCACCATGCCCAGCTAATTTTTTGTATTTTTAGTAGAGACGGGGTTTCACCATGTTGACCAGGATGGTCTCGATCTCTTGACCTCGTGATCCACCCGCCTCGGCCTCCCAAAGTGCTGGGATTACAGGCTTGAGCCACCGCGCCCGGCCCTTCCATTAATATTTTTTAAAAGAGAGCAAAATTGCTGAATAGGCTTCTTTTATTTTTGAGAATCTTTGTTTGAAAACTTTGTGGTATAACAGTTTGAGGTCTCCTTCCAAGTTAAATTTTTTTAAAATGCGGTTTTAATGACCGTCATCTCTTAAAATCTCTCAAAAGATAAGCAAGCCTACTTGAAAAAATTACATGGTCTCAGGGTTTACTAAATCAAACGGCTCATTTCAATTGTATGCACAAATCATGCACAGCCTTTAACTGAAATGTAATTTGTTACATTTCCATTTTCTTTGAAGTCCATCAGTCTTTTTTTTAACTAAGCAATCAAACAGTATCATGGAATAACTCAGAGATTTTTAGTTAGTTGTTTTATATGCAATTTGTTTACTCGTACAAGAGGAAGAAAGGTCAATAGACTGTTGTCATGGAACAAAATTAAAAACAGGATGTTTAACAGATAGGAGAGATAAAAGCCTGCTGGCAGCCTGGGAATTGTGAATCTTGCAGGCATATTTTTGGGGTAAAGAAATCAGTTGGCTGCTGACAAAGAGTCTGGGCGTCCTGGGAAGGACAACTAGTATCAAAGAAAACAATCAAGTGCCGACAGATTTTTTGAACCCCCTGCTGGCGTGGCTGAGGAGCGCATGAGGCTTGCTGCCTCTGGAGAGCTCTGCTGGCCCTCTTCCCTTCACACGCCTTGAGTAAGCCAGAGCTGCGCCACTGTCCTCCTTAGAATTCCTCAATATATTTAAAACTCAACCTCTCCATTTGGAAGATTTCTAAAAGAGGTTAGGAATTTCAGTTTCTAAGTTAAGTGTGCAGATGAGTTTTTATAAGCAATATACATCATTTTTAGAGACAAAAAATCACATAATGTTGGAAAGATTTCCAAACATCTATTTCAAAAAATGCTCTCCATAAGACTCTTTTGAAAACCAAATACTGGCCAGGCACGGTGGCTGTAATCTCAACATTTTGGAATGCCAAGGCAGGTGGATCACCTCAGGTCAGGAGTTCTAGACCAACCTGGCCAACATGGTGAAACCCTGTCTCTACTAAAAATACAAAAAATAGCCGGGCATGGTGGAACGTGCCTGTGTCCCAGCTACTTGGGAAACTGAGGCAGAAGAATCGCTTGAACCCAGGAGGCAGAGGTTGCAGTGGGCCGAGATTGGGCCACTGCACTCCAGCCTGGCAAAGGAGTAAGACTCCGTCTCAAATACAAAACAAAACAAAACAAAAATTAGCCAGGCTTGGTGGCGGGCGCCTATAGTCCCAGCTACTCAGGAGGCTCAAGTAGGAGAATCACTTAAACCTGGGAAGTATAGATTGCAGTGAGCCAAGATCACACCATTGCACTCCAGCCTGGGCAATAAGAGCTAAACACTGTCTCAAAAAAGAAAAGAAAATGCTTTCCCACTCATTGTTAAAACGTTACCTTTGTTTTGAAGAAGCAGATTATATCTGTTTGATTTTCTGAAACTTTCTCCTGGGTATCATCCTAATGACAGCTACATGTCATCACAGATGAGAAAACGTAGAACACTCACTGTAAAAGAAAATATGGTAACTCATTTTCAAGCTTGACAATTCTTTTGAGTGCTTTGCCACTGATGATCTGTGATCTTGCTGTGGTACAAGATTTTCAAAGTCACTCCTTGCTGTGGTCTGGACATGAGTATGTTCCCACCAAAACTAATTTGGAAATTTCATCCCAGTGTGGTAGTGTTGGGGTTTGGGGCCTAATGGGAGGAGTTCAGGTCATGAGGGCTCTGTCCTCTTGGGTGGCTTGGTACTGTTCTCATGGCAGTGAGTTCTTGCTCTGGCAAGATTGAACTCGTTCTCTCAGGAATTGGTTAGTTCCTGCAAGAGTGGGTTATTATAAGTCAGAAAACCCCTCTGGTTTTGCCTCTCTCATACATGTCCATTTACCCATTGATCTTCTCTGCCATATTATGACGCAGCATGAAACCTCTTACCAGAAGCTAGAGCCATGTGCTTGAACTTCCCAGCCCGCAGAACCATGAGCTAAATCAATCTTTTTTTTTTTTTAATAAATTACCCAATCTCTGGTATGCTGTTATAGTGACACAAAACAGACTAAGATATGCCTCATCACAAAACTCTGAAAGGATTCTGCTACCTTGTTTTTTCACCAAATTTAGCCTCGTGAATGGCATCGAATAGCCCATCCAAGCCACCATATATGCCTGTGGTAGGCTGCATAATGGTCACAGACAACCAACATCCCTCCTTGGGGTTCACAGTCTCCCCTGCCACACGGATGCTTAGCTTGGCCATGTGACTTACGTGGCCAAAAAAAGTGAAAGACAGTGATGTCTGCCACTTTTGACCAAAAGCTTTTGGAGCTAGTCTGCAAGGCATCAATCTTTCTGCCTCTCTGCTGCTGTAACTGGTAGTCCTCCTTGATCAGATGGGACATACTTATGACTTATGCTAAATATCTGGGGCATTCTCATCTTAAAACCTTTCTCACTGTTTATCTGAAATTCCAATTTAACTTTGCATCCTGTTCTTTTTCTGGCTGCCATAGTTGGAAGCCACTGACACTTGGGGATCATTTGTTTTGTCAGCATAACCCAATCTTACTTGGACCAGCTCACCATGGCCCAAGGAAGGGCACCTGTGTCAATCTGTATGTTACATATTAGTAAAGCTTAATTGTGCCCTTACTTTTCAAATTAAAAAAAAAAAAGGTAGTCTTCCTGCACCCCAGGGGATTGTCTTTGGAGACCACTGTCCTAAGGTGTATTCTATAGGACAAGGTTGTCAGAAACTAAGAATTGCACTAAAAACATAGACTCATCAGCACTACCTCAGAGATACTAGATTGTGGAGGTGGCTCGAGGATCTGTTTGCTTAACAAGTTCCTCAAGTGATTATGAGACACCTTCAAATTCCACTGGCCTATGTCTACTATTTGACTTTTTAGAAAGCTAAGTAGGAGACCTGGGTACTAGTCCTGACTTTGTAACTACTTTTGTATGATGGTCAACAAGTCAATCCTATTCTCCTTTCTGGACTGCACTGCTCCCAGCTAGAGAGGCAAGAGATTGGCTCAGACAACCACAAATCTTTCTTTCAGCTCTAAGAGTCCAGGATCAGGAGTCAGAAATTCAGAACCTTCTAAGGTCCAGAAAGCAAACAAATGAGGCTGGTTAGGAATAAGATAGCAGATTGTGGAAGGGCCCATGGCAAACTAAAAAGCATATTCCCCAAATGGTCCCTGAGTTTAGAAGGTTTTCCAGTTTGGCATGCTCTTCCAGTGTGGCTAGACAGGAACCCAGAGTACCCTGGACACATGTACTTTTAGCAGCAGCCCCAACCACATCTGCCTTCCTTATAATTGTCTTGCTGTAAAGGTTTGGAAAGGATTTCTAATTTTGCTGAATGCCACAAATAACTACATGAATTTACAAATTACTGGGATTTCTCAGAAATCAGTGCATGCTGGGAGGATTTTTGCTATCTAAGAGAGTCTAATCTACAAATTGTTTTAGAATGGAACAAAGTGTATGTTAACACTAATAATTAACGACATTGCAGTATTTTAGAGCTATTTCATTTAAACATTTTTAGCTTGATTTTGCAGACTAAAAAAATATTCTGGAGCCAAGAACATTGTTTTTATGTCTCAAACATTTTGATGAGCATTTTAAAAGCCTGTCAGCCCCAGTCATTTTCCCTCCGTTGCCTAAGGGCTGAAACAGTTCTGTCTGCTGGTGCTGTACCTGCTGTCTGTGATCAGACAGGGCATCAACTTTTGAGGAGCTCAGTCAGAGAGGCAGGAAGATACAAACAGGTAACTTTTCTATAATGTGACAAGTGCAGGATAAAGCAATACAAGCAATTGGAACAAAGGAAGGGACCCTGAAGGGTAAGAGGTGGAGGTGCCAGGAGAGAAGTCAGGTGAAGAAGGAAAAGGTATTTTAGGCAGAGGAAAGCACCAGCAAACGTGGAGCTATGGAACAAGTAGTTGGAGCAGCAAACAACAAGCATGCTGCTCGTTCATTCATCAAACACTCTTAGTAGCTAGAGCATCAGGCATTTAAGAGGCAGATAAACACAAGAGAGCCATGGGTAGTTACAAGCTTGAGCCAGGATAACTACACAGACAAGACAGAGCAGGCCATGGATGATGGAGTACATCCCAAATGGGGGTCTGGGGCTGGTGGACAGAGATGGAGGAAACAGGCAGGCACTCGTACAATATAAAAATGAAAATCAACGAGTGTCTGAAAACTTGAAATTCTAAAAGTCATGACTTACCCTCCATGTTTTCCCACAAAATATTTCAATCTCCTATATTAAAAAGTGACAATAACTTTTTAAAAAATGCTACACCATGTAAAAGTGGTTTTTTTCCCCCACTTATTTTTAAAAATTTCCCTGGACACTATGAGCTCCAGCAGCATGTTAAGGTGTTTGACTGGGGAAAAAGAAAAAAATAAGCCCTTAGAGCAAGAGGCATATAGAAATGTTATGTAATCCAGATGTGCCCAATTGCTCCAGCCCTCAGGGATCACGCTCCTTTAAGAACTAAATTACAGTACAGTAACCTTGGTCCTGTCTGTGGCTGCTGGAGACCCAGCCTCGACCCCAGCTTTCCTCCACAGTCAGGCCTGAGGGTCCCTGGTCCCCTCGGCCTGACACTCTCAGCAACCATTATTCTCTGTGTGCTGCCAACCTCTGTTTCTGTACTGAGTTTCCGCCTGTTTCACTGTTTGTCTTTTCAAAGCCTATTTCCAGCACATTTTCCCACTAAGTATCATCAACACATGTCTAGGCACTCACTTCTCAAGAAGCATGCAAAATATTCCAGGCCTGAGAAAAGAATCACTTCTATTTCTTCCTTACAAAGATAAAATTATACAATAAAACAACAGAATTTAAAGATTATCACAAGGTGAATTATGTATGTAATAGCTTAATACAGTTACATATAATAATCAAAAAGAAAACTAAGAAAAGAAAATGTTAAAGAATAAATTTTAAATCACTTCATTTTACTACTCAGAGATCTGCTTTTGTGGACACAGACACAGAAATAGAGACTTTTTAAAATTAAGATCATAGTGCATGTTGGCTTTTAAAAACTTATCTTTTAACATTATATGCTATCCAATTTAAATGTTCTTAAATATTCCTGAAAAACAAGTTTATGGTTGCACAGGGTTTATTATGTATCAAAACCAGATTTGACCATCCTCCTCCCAGTGTCAGATACTGTGCTCAACTTTTCACCATAACAAACAATGCATAACTTGCAAAACCCAAAAAAGGAATTATTGGCTGCAACATTCAAACAAAATGATAAAAATCAAAATCAATACATGCTGAAGTAAATGTCTACAAAATACACTATTATATCAAATTGACTGTTTAATTCATAAAATTGTTTTATTTGAAAGCAATTTGCAAGTTGAACGCTTGCTCATCAGGAGCATTCCTGAAAACGGACAGGATAGTGAGTTATCAGAGTCAAATGTGAATTCCAAATTGACATAGCCAAACTGCAAGAGCCAACTTTTAAAAACACTTTTACTACAAAACATGTACCGTATGACGGATGTGGCTGCGCTGACTGTTTGAGATGACACCGAGGAGTGGGAAAGCCAGAGCGCCTAGACCTTCAAAGCCTGCAACCTGCCCCGGCTATTTCCCCACCTCCTCGCCACTCAAAGCGCTGGCATAGTTTCCTGGCAACCTGGGAGAAATGCAGAGTCTCAGGACCATCCGGAGCGCCCGAATGGAAACTGACGCGTTACGAGGCCCCAGGTGCAGCGTTTCAGGGGCCCTGCACCACCTGGGACGCCCGGCAAGCAGCGGGCATGACGGGCCCCCAGGAGCCTCCGAAAGCCACCCGTTCCCTAAACCCGGAGGGCCTGGTCCGCGCCTCCCAGGAAGCCCCGCCGCTCCCAAACGCAGGATGGGGCCACACGGGCACTAAAAGGCAAGCAACCCTAACCCTAACCCTTTCCAGTCTGGGCCCTCGGGGTGCACCTGTGAAACGAGGGGGCACTGAAGCCTAGGAAAGGAAGAGTGGGAACTCCTCGCTAATTCTCGTAATGGGAGCCACCAGGGGCGCTGACTGTGGCACCTCCCTTCGCACACGGAGACTACCTGCGACCTCCGGCAGCCCCCAGAACTGTTTGCCAACAAAGACGTGCGGGGGGCGGAGCCTGAGCGTCAGATTTCGCGAGCGGCATACAGAGGGCGGAGCCTAGGAGTCAGATACCGCGAGAAGTGATCTCCCGTAGACGTTCTAACAAGCGCAGGCGCACTACAATTCCCGCCCCGGCCGAGAAGGTGGCACCTGCAGCGAGAGGCGGGGCCGGGCCTATGTACAAAGCTCGCGAGATTTAATGGAGCGTCACCGCTACTTCTTCCTGGCAGAGACCGGAAGTGCGGTCCACCGGGAGTCTGGGGCGCTTACCCTGCTTTGGGCCCGAGTTCCTGTCGCTGCTCCTCCGCTCCCGCTTCGTTTTTCCTGCCCTGGATCGAAGCGATGGGGGATCCCAAGGAAGCCGGAGCTGAGGGGCCGCCGGCTGGGGCCGCTGCTCGAGGAGGGCTCAGCCTCCTGTCACAGGGTGAACCCGAGGAACCTGCACAGGTGAGTCCTCCGCGGAGGGGAGCCTTCCAGGTCCGGGAGCCTAGGACCCCCTCCACCCGGGAGGGATGCCTCGGTTCCCAGCAGATTCTGGAGCCTTCTCTATGCTTCCCTGACATCCCCGAAATAGGGAGTGGAAGTCCGTGTTCCTTTCGCCAGGTATTCGTATTAAAAGCAGTCCTGGTAGCCGACAGGTGAGTTAGACACGATCTCTGCTCTCAAGGAAGGTACATGTAAATATGTCGTTCCAAAATGTGGCACAGTCCTGCAAAGCTGGTGGGAAGAAAAGGTGCCAGGGAGTGACTCTCCGAGAATGAGACAGAACTAATTCACAGAAGGTGCAAAATGTTTGCCAGGCAGAAAAGGGACTGGGTGGAAGATTAGAATATTGAACCCAGACACTGAACTTGCCTTGGGAGTGTGCAAGTGCAGGCTGTAAGGAACGACCCCCAGTGCCTTGCTATGAAGTTAGAGACTCAAGAGTATTTGCAAAATGAACCGATGCGTCAATTACTAAATATTTACATTAAAACAAAAAAGGGCCAAATATTTTGCCAGACTGCTTTATGAATGATATTGTTATTGACATTAAAATACATTTTTGGCTAGGCATGGTGGCTCACGCCTGTAATCCCAGCACTTTGGGAGGCTGAGGTGGGCGGATCACCTGAAGTCGGGGAGTTTAAAACCAGCCTGGCCAACATGGTGCAACCCCGTCTCTACTAAAAATACAAAAATTAGCCAGGCATGATAGTGCACTCCCGTAATCCCAGCTACTAGAGAGGCTAAGGCAAGAAAATTGCTTGAACCCTGGAAACGGAGTTTGCGGTGAGCCGTTATTGTTCTACTGCACTCCAGCCTGGGTGACAAAGTGAGACAGTGTCTCAAAAAAAAAAAAAAAAAATTAAAATACATCTTTAATACTGAAAATAGGCTTTATTAAAGTTTGCACTTAGTTAACATAACATCATTGAGTCTTCTGGGTTTCTGCCACTCCACTTTATATGAATAAATTTTAAAAGAGTGGGTGGTCCATTTTCTAGCTGATAACCATAATCATCATACCCCTTCACTCATCTTTTTTCTTTGAAATTGGTGTAAAAGAACTAAGTAAGTGTTACCATTTATGCTGGAATTAATTATTAAGTGCTGTTAGTAACGTGGCATATGTCCTTTGTGAAGCCTGGTGTGACAGATTCTTGTTTTCTTTTTATGAAGGTGAGATTTTTCTTTCCTAGTAATGTTCATTAAAGTTTCATCCAATCTGTTAATTAGGGATCAGCTTTATTTCTTGGAGGCAATGAAGTGAAGAGCCGAGCTGTGGTGAAATACTCTTCTGCCCCTCCTCGAACAGCATTTGCACGCCTTGAAGAGAAAACAGACTTGAAACTCCCACCTGCCAACTGGTTACGAGAGAGTGCCAAACTAGGGCCAGCAGGAACTACAATTCTTGGTAATAGCAAGAAAAGCAAGCCATTTTCAAGGTAAATATTAGTCAGTGGTGATGTTACCTGCCTTCCACCCTCATGTAAAACTCTTATATGCTTTTAAATTCAATTTGTAATGCGCATTAACTTACCGAGAGAGATTTATCTTTGGAGAAAGATACTTGATTTTCAAAGGCTTTTTATTCTCCTGGTAATAGATGATGTTACAGTGTGAAGATGTACATACAATATCAATTGCTCATGCTGCTTTCAAGTCTACATCATGTTATTAGCAAAGATGAGTTTCTCCCGCCAAAGTTCAATCAGCCCGTTCATTTTAGCCAATTCGGATACCTTTTGAATATGTGAATACAAAGGATCAACTTGGTGCATGAGGAGGAAAACCCTGAACATTGCTTCATCTTTCCTGTGGAGTTTTTCATTAAAGGGTGGTGGGTTGACTGATCTGGAAAGGCCAGATTTAAAAACTCAGCATTAGCCGGGTGCAGTGGCTCATGCCTGTAATTTCAGCACTTTGGGAGGCCGAGGCAGGTGGATCACAAGGTCAGGAGATTGAGACCATCCTGGCCAACATGGTGAAACCCCATCTCTACTAAAATACAAAATATTAGCCGGGTGTGGTGGCACACGCCTGTAGTCCCAGCTACTGGGGAGGCTGAGGCAGGGGAATCGCTTGAACCTGGGAGGCAGAGGATGCAGTGAGCCGACATTGCACCACTGCACTCCAGCCTGGTGACAGAGCAAGATTCCATCTCAAAAAAAAAAAAAAAACCCAGCATGTTGGGTGACCTGCACCTTGACTTTGACACTGGAAATTCTGCTGATGGTACTTAAAGTTGAGAGAGTAGCCTGAGATCCTATAGAGAAAAATGTACTATTGTCCATATTGTTGTAGGCTATCTAATGTGTGGGGTTCTCTTTTTTTTTCTCCCCATCTCAGCTGCTCAATCTAAAATATTTCCATGTAACTTGTAGCAAGAGGCACAAATACACTACTACTTTACAAGCTGGTAGTTTGGAAATTATCCTAATGTCTTAGAAGATAAAAGTTATATTTGCAAAATGCTGTTTGTTTGTAGCATCATTTATAGGAGCAAAAAGTTGGAAATAATCCAAATATCATTTTTTAAAAGAGTGGCTTAATCAATCATGATTTGTTAACATACTTTAATGTGTGAAGAAATTTGAATGATTATATTGACTATACAAATGCTGTGCCAAGTTTATATGCTTATCTTATTTAATGCTCATCACTCTTTGAGAGAGGCACTGTTAATTATTTTGCACCCGAGAAAATGGAAGCTAAATAATTTGGCTCAGGCATACGGTAAATCACAAAGCATGCTTTGCGGTTAGGTGGTCCTTTAAGTGTCTTGACTCTGCCATTTAGTAACTGGAAAATGGTGATGTCGGGTCCCTTTCAGTGTTGTAGACTATAGCTGTGCCTCAGGTGGTACGTGGCATCAGTTGGCTGCTCGATTAACTTTTTTTTTTTTTTTTCTCATTTCCTTTTGTGGCTGAATTGGTGTCAGGTTTTTCATGTCTATTTTTTCATGCCTATTTTTTAAAAGAGGTATATCACTAGAAACACAATCTCAGAAAGTAAAATCCTGATAAATGTTTCTGTTTCTGTTTTTCTTCTCTTTCTATCTAAAAAGAATAAAGTCTTGAACTCACTATTTTCCCTTGGAGACTTTTTGGGTTTTGTGATTACAAAATTAAAAATAATTGTTTTTATTTTAAATGTTTCCTACTGGATGCTTCTAATGATTATTACCATGTTTTATCAAATATAAGATGCCACTGACTTTAAGACACACCATTATTTTATGCACCACTAAGAAAAAACAACTTGCCAATTGTAATGGTGATACATATCCTGATTTCAGAGTTGTTAAAATGTGGAAAAATGTGTATCCTAGAAGCAGTGAACTACACTGTTGTTATTAAACTCAGCTTGCATGATTATGAGCATGATGTTTTAACATGTGGCCTTTTTTCTCTTTGGTAGCTTTGGCATGGCATATGACTTCATTGATTCAGTGGGAAATGATGTAGATGTTGTCTCTGACTCTGAGGTAAGTATTATTTGTCACTTACTGTAATTTTGGAGGTGTTTTGTGCTGGGTGTTTTATATCATGCTGTGTTTTACATGATACAAGCATGCAAGTCTTGAGAAATTAGTGATGAGATAAGATAAAACTATCTGATTATTGAATATCTTTTTTTGTTATTAAAGTATCATTCTTTACTGCATCTTTATTTAAAGAGGAAGAAACAATCCCCAAACACTGGCTGTGGTAATAATATTAATACTGATGGTTATATTTTAATGATAGTAATTGAAACTGATCATAATGTTTGGGATTATTCTGTATATGTTACCAGTTGAAAGTTACAAATGATATTTCTACTAAAGTCTATTGATCCTTAGTGGCTTTTATCTGATATGCCAAAAGTCTGGGTCAGCACAACAATGTGACGTATACAGCCTTAATTTTAAGATATTCTATTATGTAAAAATAGATGTTTGTCATTAATATAAGGTGACTCAAAGTGTACATGATTGTGGTTTTGAAAGCCCTGACCTCTATGTGTTTGCATGTACCTCTTTGTTTAAAGTTCTGTTTGTATAACCTTAAGGAAATAAGGTTTATTGTGCTTTCAAATTAATGAAGTTAAAATTTAAAAGATTCCAAATCACGCTAAAACAGTCTTTCTTAACTATTTTTTTCTCTTAATTTTTTAAGAACATAAAAAAACTCCTGAAAATTCCCTACAGCAAATCCCACGTGAGCATGGCGGTACACCGCATAGGAAGGACCCTCCTACTAGATGAGCTAGATATTCAAGAACTCTTTATGAGATCGTCTCAGGTAATGCTTTTGTGAAAAAATCCAGAAAAACGTTATTTAACAACTTAAGAGCACTAGAAATAGGATTTTGTTTCAGAGAATGGCCAAAGTTGAAAGGTAGTTGAGAATTTCAGCAATCGAGAAATGAAAAGTTTCACTGAAGATAGAAAAGCTTGAATGAAGAAAAAAGAAGAGAGTGAGAATGGTGAAGAAAATTATTTTATTGATACCAACAGCCAGATTCTTTCTTAGAAGAAAAAAAGATGAAGCCAATAAAGTTGTGAAAAATCTCTGAAATTTAAGGGACTAGTTTAAAATTTAAAAATCCCTTTGATGTCTTCCTTAACAGATTCTCATGAAA